ACACACACATCTTCAGAAGTGCATGCAGTATCACAATTTCAACACTCACACATGTCACATACGCACACACCATCAGATGCACCACACACACACACTATCATATCACAACCACACACACATCAGAAATGCAATTCCACACATATGGCATGAGTCACACAATTTCTACACACACAAACACAGCATCAGATGCATACGTGCACACACACACACACACACACACACCAGAAATGCAACTCCATGCATACAGCATCAGTCACACAGTTACACACATGCACACACACAGCATCAGATGCAAAACCACACACACACACTCCAAAACTGCATCTCCTCACACACAGCATCAGTCACACAGTCACGGCACAGGTGACACGTCGGGCGCACACCATCACACACGTGACCACACACCTCCATGCACGCACCTCCTCCACACACCCCAGCACACAAAACTTGAGACATTCAAATTCTCCTCCACATATCAGCCCTCTGCCACACTCCCCCCTTCCAGAAGGCAATCCCACTCAGAAACGCAGCCTCACGCGCACACACAGCTTGGCCACCCGCCCACCCACTTGCGTGCGCTGCACCTCTCATACCCAGAGCCCCCACGCGGTGGTGGCAGAAACCCTGGCCAGGCGGGCAGAACTGGGTAAGGGAACAGGGCCCTGGGAGCTGCCGAGGCGTGGGGCTCAGGGTTGGAAACACGCGTGGCCACGCATGCGGAGCCCCACGCACGGGGATGCGCGCCAGGGAGACCCCCAAGGAGCAGGCAGGCGCTGAGACAAAGAGCAGCCGGCAGCTGGGGACGTGGGCGTAGGGGAGACCCCCACCCTGCCCGAGCCCAGCGCGAGCCCAGCCCGGGCACGGGTTTGAGCTCAACCTGAGCCTGGTCCCTGCCCGGCCAGAGCCGCGCCGCGCCGCAAGGTCCCCACTCACCTGCGTCGGTAGCGGCGGAGGCGGCCCAGCGGCTGCCCGAGCCCAGGGCGCAGCGCGCGGATGCAGGACCCGGAGGGAACCCGGCGAAGCGGCCGGCGCGGGACCGCGAGACCCGCCGAGGACGGTGCAGAGCCGGGCGCGGGAGAGCGGGGAAGCGCTGTGCAGCCGGCGGGATCCGGAGCCGGCCCTGCGCTCACGTGGGTTTGGGGGCGCGGGCGGCCAGGCGGGGGGAAGGGGCGGGATCCCCTCCGGGATGCCCCCCGCCTCCCCCGCGCCCAGTCCAGGAGCTGCAGCCGCGCCCGGGGAAAGGAGAGACCGCGTGCTGGAAGAGCGAGGAGGAGGTGGGAGGTGGGAGAGGGTTGGGGGGGAGCGACCGCCTCCAGCCCCCGCCCCCTGCTCCGAGCCCCCGCCCCCCGCCGCCTCCGCAGCCCTCCGAGACTCCCGAGTCTCCCTAGAGTGTTGTGGCGGGGTCGAGGGTGGGGAGCGTGCGGGAATCCGGTTTTTGGCACGGTGTGGGGGGGCCCCACGTCCTCTACGGAGGTCTGGGCAAGAAGCGAGCGCCAGTGTCTGGGTGGCAGCAGGCCCAGCGCGGGCTCCTCGGCCCGGCTCCCCGTCCCCCCACCCCACCGGGGGGTGGCGCCTTTGCTGCCGCCTGGGGCGGGCCCCCTTCGCTTCGTTCTCGTTTTCAGACCTTGGGCTTATCCCGAAGCGTGTGAGAATAGCTTGGGCGAATCTGCCGATGAATTTAAATCTGATAACAATTTATCAATCAGTGAGCAAAATGGCAAAAGGAATCAATGCCCCTAGGTGTAATTAAAA